CCGACGCAGACAATAGTGAGACATAATTTGTCAATCTTAGAGTTTTGTTGCGATAGGTTTGCTGGATGCCCACAGGAAAGATTGCGCTATTAACCTCAAAGTTATTCGCTAAGATAGTCCATTCAAGTATTCATGTAAGTTGTGACATTTCACAGCGAAATCTTGTTTCCTGACGGCTGACTGTAATCCGAACAGGAAATAATCTTTAAAACATACTTCACCCGTAGGCGAAAATGATCCTACCACCTTTTTATCAACTTGCATCTACCACTCTATTATTTCCCAGATTCTCTGATATCATCTATTTGTTGTCACTTAGAATTCAACGACCGTGCTTTAAAAGCAACACTACGGGCGACAATTATATTTATTTTCGGCTAACGTTTCGACGTCTTCGTCTTCCTCAGAGCCGATGATCCGAGTCGATGGTCCACGCTTGTTATTGGTCTCGATGTGGCAGCTTCGCCTTCGTGTCGAGTCAGGTCTTCCTCAGCGCGCTATCTCGTCGAATGAGTCATACTCACTCGGCTACCCCTTTAAGCAGGTTACTGATGATGGATAGCTGTGATTGTTCGGTGATAGTGTGATAGTAACTTGGAACAAATGGAAGCTAATGTGAGCATGAATGATCACTACCACATTTCACCTGGAACATCACGCGTGACCTGATGCCATACCTGAGGCTAATCCAATAACCTGACACAGACACATTTATCGCCTATGTATTACTCTGTGCAGCAGCTGTCTTTGTCTTCTCTGTGAAACTCATGAAAATATCCTATCTGACTGGTGCTCGGATAGCTGGCTCAGCTCTCAATTAAAATCTGTAGAACAAGAATTTTTTTCGTTCTTTCCGCTTAGCGGTCACTTCTATTTCACTTTATCAACTATGAGCTGGTAGCCGCTTTAGTTAAAAAGAAAACAACAACCTTTTGACTGACTATGGATGTTGTTAGGCTGAAAGAAGAGAAGAGAGCTCCTCTGTCCAAGGGTGATGAAGGGTGGTAAGTCAAACAAGTCTTTTGTGGTCTTCTTTTCCAAGGAATTTTTAGCCAAATAAGGTTATAAAAAGCGAACACGTCGGTAAAACAGTCCAATTCAAAAATCCAAGTAATCAGAGGTGAAATCACAATGTGTCATTACTTTTGCTTATTACTTTTTATGGCAGAGTATTATGTGAAACAATGATGCTGAGATATTTGCAAAACTCAGACCCCTGGTCAGATTCAAACCCGCGACCACATTTTCAGGAGGCTCTCGGGGACCCACTGCACCATCCAAACCCTTATCTTGCCTTTCTCTCAACAAGTAGGCAATAAACAAGAAGTGTTGTATTGTGTTTTTTGCTGTAGTCTCATCTTAATTGAGTTCAATGCTGATTTGTCCTCACCAGATCATTTCCGTTGACGGGTGATTGTTGATGGCATCGTCGGAGTGAAAAACTGGCTGAGAGAAAAAAAGTAAAGGTCTCAGTTGTGTAATGGGTAATACGTGAACGCCTCGAAAAGGTAATCGTAGGATTGAATCTGGCTTGGGGCCTGCGTTTTACAAATATCTCAGCATCATTGTGGCTGATTATAGGATGATTCAACCGATGGTCATGGTATGTCATCAGAAGCGAATAATCTACTCCTTCACAAGACGATTACAGTAAAAATAGCTAGATTCTGCAGCAAATTCTGCTTGGAAAGACAGGAATAAATCGACGCTGTCATCGGCCAACTCTGGTTATCTCGTCGGTGGCCTTCGTCGAAGTTGCTTTCCTTATCAGAAAACTTCCCCTTCACTTTATAACCCCTTTTTTCGTTATTAAGCTGATTACCGTATTATATATGAAAATATCACATTCCTTAGAGATCTACGCTTTCACAACTTGCTTGTTGTTAGATGTTCTGATTATCTATAGCCGTACGTCGGATAGAAATAGTGAAAGAGCCACTCATTGCCTCAAGTCGCTCTTCACATTAGCCGTTCCTCCACTCAGCGAGCCGCCTATTAAGATCAAATCGCAATTAATATCTAAAATTATTCCTACGTCCGACTTTCGATTGACCTCAGCATTAATTGAATATTTTTTTCACTTCTGTTTAGCAAACACGAGCTGTTATTTTATTTCTTTATTTATGTAAAAGCTGACGTTTCGGCGGATTTCGCCTTTCTCAGAGTCTGGAAAGGTTAATTTGACAGCAATCTATTCGGCCAAACACCTCCGTAACCAAACAGAGAAAATGCTGAACCGAAATTTCAATCACATTGAACACAGAGATTTCGCACACTCACCACTTTCTATGAGTCTTCCACTGAGTATTTCGCGTGGAGATCAACCGCACAGTGTTCACATATAATCGTAATGTGCCCATCTCATCAGAACAGCGGGATTATATACTGCCCAATATCACGCGTGATAATGAGGCATTCCTCCCTGCGGTTCATTTTCAGATTCTTGGAACGAATCCAGAATGCCTCTAGAGTTTTGCGCGCTTCTGTTCTCGTTTCCTGCGTGAGGATCGTAACCACTACTTCAAAATTACGCGTGCCTAGTAGAGTATTTGGTTTACGTTTACCGAATAGGTGTTCTTTTATACGGGCGCAGAGTGGTCTACCCGTTACGCCGTGTCGCCACACGCTTTATAAGAGATCGGATAGGAAATATAATACATTACATACATAATATAATAATAATATAATGACATAATATAATATTAATACAATATAATAATACCATTATATAATAATATATATAATATAATATATAGTATATATATAATATATATCTAAAATTACTTGCTCTTTTACGTTTTTTGCTCGTAATTTCGGTTCAGGTGGTGTATCATGCGAATATGATGTTGTTCTGGACGAATATTAGATCTGAGCGAAGATTTAATGACATAGATTTTTCGATGTATCCTTCATTTCTTGCTGGAATACCGTTGGATTGATGAATCCGGAAAATCCAGAATATGGAAAATTGGTACATAATGATTAAAGACGTATTTTATTTCATAGCGATAAAGGACAAACGATGAAGCATTTGCCGTTTATCAATTTTCATGGAAAGCTATATGTAAAGGATTCCATGATTAGTATCATATAGGTGAATGAGTGCATATTTGACATAAACGATCAGTTCCGTAGGTTAGACGAGAAGCATCATATCGACGGTTTTGATACTCTCAAATAGGTTCAAGACTAATCTGCGGACTACGGAAACATGGTGGGCTTGGTTAGCTTAGGCTCGGCATCCAACCAACAATGACGTATACGTTGCAGCGCACCTCAAACCAATGCGTTACACTCACCCCGATTTCACAAGGTTAAGGTTCTGGAAACCGCTGCTGTTCAAATTTGTTAAATTCTATGAGATTTCAACCTCTAAAAATAGCTGCTGTTGTCTAGATCATAACAGGGAATTGCAACCACCTCGCCTAAGTTCACCAAGGGACTGAAACATTGGGCGGTTTTTGCCTTTTTTGTCACCCTTGTTCTTGCTAAAAGTGGACTCAAAATGTTCTTTGCTCACATCTTTCTTTTTTATTACAAGTTACCTTGCGCATGGTAATAAACAGGGAAAACAAAGATGTTTCAAATCTTCCACTCCGACAGCTATAAAACTTTCGCCATAAAAGTCAAGTTGATTTTGTTCTGTTATTGCTTTTGTTTTTCCGAAAAATGAACAAACTATTACGGACGAAGGAAAAACGCGGTTTAGCAGCAGATTTGAATGATGGCGACTTTCAATTGAGTGGGCCGGCATTTTAAAGTAGCTTCGCCTATTCAAGAATTTCTGCTTTTTAGGCCACTTTATTGTATATTAACAACTTCGCTCGTTATTATTTTTGGTCCTTGGAATATGTCGTAAGATAATTCGGTATAATACTGCCTAACTTTTCGGTGGTTTCGCGTTCCTAGGAGCAAGGAAGTGTCAGATTTACGGGCTATCAACTCAATAAAACACTTTCATAAACTCAACAAAAAAAAACGTGATACCTAAATTTTTTCCATTATTTGGCTAGTGCCAAGATTCAAAGAAAGTCTGCCTTTCGAATATATCGTAAGATTTTCTCTTACGCGACTCGTGCTCACATTTACTGTGCAGATCTCAGCACTTCTTGCATTTGATTCGTTCCCCTGCATCCGCCATCCAAGAAGGGCTTCGAATTTTTCACGTGCTTATTTGGCTGCTGCTTGAGGAATTTTGAGATTCATTAATAATTTCATTGAATACTGGCAGAGTAGATTCTCCTTAGAGTCTTGAGAAAAGCAAGCTAGAGCGTCCCCACTTGAAATGCAGAGAATCAACGATTCCCAGATCCACCCGGCAGCAGTTTCCCGACTTCGGATTGATCAGGAGCTTGGTGACCCAGGTGCGGGGTCGAAACAACACTGTGCTCGTTATGATCGTCACCATCACCACTGCTTTAAACGCCGTCTGATGCATTATGGTAACATTAAGAAAATTCTTAAATCGACTATTTAGTTCCATGCAGCCAACATTTAGTAGAAGCCATCTTTTATTTTTAATTCGCTCTTCTTCAGCCCCTGATCATAGTATTGAGTATCAAACGCCGAAGCCAACATTTCTCATAGCATCGTTATCGTGTCCAACACTTCACCATCATCAGTCGTACCAACTATTCTTTCCCTGCTTTCACTTCCTCAATGTCAGCAGCTTTCTCTTCCTCGTCTATTGCTGTTCCTCGCGCTGTTCCTTGCCACGGTCTCATGGATACTTTTACTTTAAACTAATTCATTTCATTTATGTTAGCCAATAAACTGCTGATCCATTGGCTTTTATAATAAAGCAATAAAGTCAAAAACGTTGTAAACCATTTTTTTGTTACATTAGGTCTTGGCACTGTCGCGCTTACCCTAAATATCGTTTCTTTCGTTCATTGAACGACCGAACCCAAACTTTATGCATTTCTTTTCTTTTTTCGTCGTTCTTCGTTCGCAATACCAAAAATGATTTCTGGTTGCACTCCTTAGAACATTTATCAGTTTTACAACATTTGAAGGCGAACTGAACCAGTTTTTCTGACAAAAACGTTTATAGGCCTTGGGCGCGTTTCCGAACTCAAGCCACCATCACCACCACCTCCGTCTCCATCATCACCATCGTCATCATCTTCATTCTCGTCCTCATCCTCATCCTCATTCTTATCCTCGTCCTCATCCTCATCCTTATCCTCATTCTTGTAATCTTCGCTATCTCCGTCATTACCAAGACAACCGGTGAGACCGACAGCCCGCTCAGCTGCCTTGCCCTATTGACCTGAAACGCAGTCATCACTCACCGACACCATTGACGTACATTCAGCCTCTTACATCATTTTGTCGTGATCCTTTTCTGTTTGGACAAGCTCATCTACGAGTTCGTGCGATGATGTCTATGCATACTCTGCTGTTTCTGCTTGCACTGCTTACTATTTGCTGTGCTTTCGACAAGAATCTTTTGAAAAAAAGACAAAAAACTGCTGATTATAAGAAGGTCTGTGCTTTTTCTGAACCTCACATGACATATTTCTTTGTTATTCAGGTAGCACTTGACATTTTTACAATAATTTTTGTGAATCATCGTAGTGATTACGTCACCGAGTGAGTATGCCTTATTCAAGGAGATGGCCCGCTGAGGAAGACCTGACTCGACATGATGGCGAAGCCTCCACATCGAGATGAATAACAGGCGTGGACTCTCGACTCGGATCATCGGCTCTGTTGAAGATGAAGACGTCGAAACGTTAGCCGAAAAAAAATGTGGTTATCTACCTCGTGTAAGTGCATAAAAGAAAGAATACGTATTGAATAGTTACACCGACGTTCAACGAAAGTCGATTTCGAAATACTGTGGGCGACGTTATGTTCGACGCTCCTATTTCATCCCAGTACTGTCCTCCTTCACTTGTTCCTTTCTACTTGAAAACTTGCTAAGCTTAGAACAGAAGTGAAGGATTACTTAGTGGTTACTCTTATTCTTGATACTTGCTTAGGACTCTATTATTTTCTATTCTGGTGATTATAGTTGTTTCGAAAAAGATTTCAAGGGTAATATAAAGTATTTACCTTCTCCTGCATTATCATCTACATTCGAATGAAGGGAAACACAGTGGAAGATGATTGCCTCGTCCGATAGCATCGACGATTCGGTTGACGGATCCCTATCAACTTAATTTCGTACCACAACAAAAATAAAGTTTAAGTTGCAACGTTGGTTGGCATTTCTCTCCAATAGGTAACATTTCGGTAAAATGCTGCCTTATATGTAACGACTAGGGTGCATGTAGTGTATCGGTTAAAGTTGTGCAAGTGTATGTGGTACGCGGTTTGATCAAGCGCCTTGTCCTAACCAAGCTCTCCATCAGTCTCTGGTTGGCAAATTAGCGCAACAGTTGTCAGGGAAGATTTAAAAAACTAACCCAATACATCTGAAGCCGCTCAAAAATATTCTATGGTCTATATATGCTTTCAAACACAGCCATGGTGCTAATATTTCAGTAGAATGGAAAGCACATACGGAATGGATTGATCAATGTCAAAGTCTTTGTAATTTTTTCTTTAGCCTTTAATCCTTCTACAAGAGATCGACCATCACTTGCCTTAATGATATCTAGAGGTTTGCATACGAAAACAAAGAGAAATTAACTTCAATGTTGCTGAGATATTTGCAAAACTCCGGACCGCAGGTGTATGCAGTGGGGAACGAACGCGCTGTTGTCCTTACCAGGGAGTAGCGCACTTCACCACCACACCATCCGGGTCCTTCATTTTGCCTGTCTCTCAGCTAGTTCTATCGATCTTTTGCCATCAGCAATCACCCATCAACGGGATTGATCTGGGGGCCCAAATCGTCAACGAACCCAGTTAAGCTGATGCCGTAGTTATAATCACAATTTAACGTATTATTTACTGCCTATTCTTTTTAACGGCAGAGTATACATTGTGAAATATAACTTCAATGATGCTGAGATATTTGCAAAACTCCGGAAGTTATATTTCACAATGTGTACCCTGCCGTTAAAAAGAATAGGCAGTAAATAATACGTTAAAAAAAAATTAATCACTACCATATGAGCTCAGTCATTACTTCTTTTAATCGCTTGTTATCACCATTATTACCACTATTTTCGCTATTATTATTAGTGTTATTGTTGTTGTTATTTCTTTATGCTAGCGTAGTGCTCTGTGCTGCTAAAGTAAAATAGTTCGCACTAGTCTTCGCTCTTTTGCTCTCTTTTCGTCGAAAACATCATCATTATGGCGAAAGTTAATACTACTGTAATCTGTCTAGGAGAAAAAAATGAAGCGGAACATGATGATGATGACAACTATGTTTGCTTTGATGGAAGCCTTTTAAAAAAAGTGACATGCGTTTCCTATTACAGCTGAGCAGCTCATCGAAAGACCTAGAAATTGACAAACTATGGTTTCATGAACATGGAAACCAAGGAACTTTTTATCCCATTTTTCCAAAAGTGATGACGCCATGTTACTTTCTGTTACGAAATCACGGAACCAACAATATACCATGATAATCTTAACCTTTTTATTTACTGCCTATTCTTTTTAATAGCAAGGTATGTTGCGAAATATAACTCGTATATAATGCTGAGATATTTGCAAACTTCCGGACCGCAGGTGTTTGCGGTGGAGGACGAACGCGCTGTTGCTCTTTCCGGGGTCAACGCGTTCACCACCACACCATGAGGGCCCTTCGTTCCATTGCCGATTTGGCTTTCCTAGATCAAACCTGCCGAATGGTGATTGCTGATAACAGTGATCGATGGAACTAGCTGATGGACAGCCGAAACGAAGCACCAGCATCGTGTAGTGGTGAACGCGTTACCCCCGGAATGGATAATAGCACGTTCGTTCCCCGCCGCAAACACATGCGGTCCGGAGGTTTGCCAATATCACAGCATCATAAAAGTTATAACGTGATAGCTGAGAAGGAGCAATCGAATTTATATGTGAACACATGAGTGCGCTGTCTTTCCGAAGAATAGTGCAAGAGTTGCAGAATAATTCCTATTTGATCAGCAGTTTACTGATAATTCCTATTTGATCAGCAGTTTACTGTTTAGGCAATCTTTTCCTTCATTGGAGTCTCGTGATAGGAGTGTTGAAGGTTTCCCAAGTCCTACTAGCAACTTCACTTTAACTTCTGCATAGATCAATAATTCACTGCTTTCATAATGAGCAAGCACAAGGTTCTTATTACAGCATTTATTCATTCACAATAGTTGACGTTTCGGCAGTTTCGCCTTCTTTAGAGCCGTCAAATTGACGTCCAAGTCACTCAGTCAAGCGCTTTTATGACTCAAACAGATAAAACCTAACACATAAATATTTGCTCGCATAGTGAACAGCTTCTGTTAAACGCTAACCGTTTTACTCTTTATAAGTTATTATTGGAGACCAGCCCCACGGAGTTATACGTGTATGAGAAATATGCCTAGCTGCGATCAAAAAATCGATTCGAGATATAGCGCGGGATCACGCGTGATCACGTGGCACTCTTCACTGTGGTTTCCGATGTAGGCACCATAGACAATCGCCTCCTCTCTTTAATACGAAGGAGATTTATCACTTTGAGACTAAGCTATTAGCAGAAGGTAATCCTTCACAATACTTTATCTTTAAATGGACTTCAAAAATGTGGTATAAACTCGTTCTCACTTTAAGAGTTCTCATAGGAGGAGAGGGTGATTCGCATTGTATATAACAATTCCGCGCTCAACACACTATGGACATACATTACACCATTTCAGGGCTTAGTGAGAGTTAATAAGTACAATGTAAACTTTTTATCTGCTGCCTACTACGATTCCTCACGACACGGTATTATGTGAAATTCAACCACAACGATGCTGAGACGGTTGCAAAACTTGAACCCTGGACCAGATCAGACCACGATTATACTTTCCAGGGGCTCGCGTGTAACACACTGTACCACTGAGGCCCTCAGCACCATTATAGTAAATAAGTACTTTATTGCTTAGAGAAAGTTGTAGAACAATTAACTTTCATAATGAGAGACTTAATACGAGCATAGTCACAGAATTCCTTTCGCTCAATGAAAACAAAGCAAACCAAAAACTAAAAAAAAGTTTCGCCTGTCTCTCAGCTATTTCTATCGATCTATGCCACAGCAATCACCCGTTAGCGGGATTGATCGATAGAAATAGCTGAGAGACAGGCGAAAGAAAGGACCCGCATGGTGTGGTGGTGAACGCGTTATTCCCCGGAAAGGACAATAACGCGTCCGTTCCCCACCATAGACACCTGCGGTCCAGAGTTTTGCAAATATCTCAGCAACGTTGTGGTTGTATTTCGCTTAGTACCCTGCCTCGAAATCATAGTAGGCAGAAAATAAAAAGGTACAACATTTAAAAAAAGTTGTTCAGGAAACCTTAGAGCACCATGACTGATTTTATGACCAGCCTTAAGAGTTCCCCGCTTCCATCTATTTCTAGATAACTGTTAACAGACGAGCTCGTGACAGCTACCAACTGATAAAAATGGGAATGGATTCATCACTTTGAATAGCTTGCTTTACGGTGATAAGGCAAGCGTGAGGAAGTAAGAAACTTTGCTCGTTCGATTCAGGAATTCGTCTTACATCAAAAAGAGTTCTTTAGCAAAACAGTATTGTAAATTTCTCAGTCTTGTAAGATGTTAAAGAGAAAGAACGTCTTTGCGAAGCAAAACCTCTGGAATTATTGTCATGACTGTGATGTTGACAGTTAGTTCAAGTCATTAATATTTAGTCTCTCAAGAGATGAGTGAACGAAATTAGTTCTGTACGTCCGAACATGCATAACAAGGCGAAAAGACGAAAAAAAAAGATCAAAAGCTCAGAAGAAAAGCAGTTATGGTCGAAGCTGTAAAAAAGAAAGTAGGATTCACAAAGCCTACCAAAATTTCGTTGTTTGCAAGACCAGAATGACTACACCTCGGACGTCCGAACAGAAGAGTTACAACTCCCAGAAAGGCAATAGAGAGAATCACTCACGATTAGAACTCGGATCTCTTTAATAGCCGCGTTTCCTGTTCTGATACGAAATAAGGGAGAATAGATATGTCACCCCACTGGTTCTCCCTTTCGAAATTCGACATTTTGTTTCTTAGATGCAAACTGTGTCAGTTGTCAGAGTAATGCAGAATCAAACAACAACTACTCTGGATAGGTTGAGACCAGAGCACCTAACGAACCTTTCGCCAACGTTTTGGCTCAGGTCTTACCGTTACCTCTCTGAATGCAAGGTCCCTACACCGTGGAAGACCAGCATGACCGTGCTATTGTTTAAAAAAATGTGATCTGTACGATATCGGTAAATATCGCCCAATCTGCTTCCTGTCTGTCATCTACAACCTCTTCACTCGAGTCATCCTAAACAAGAATGACAGAACACTGAACGAAGGAAAGCCATGCCAACTAGCAGCGTCTCCAAAGGGATTCAGTAAGATAGATCACATCCCCACGATAATAAGAATCATTGAAGTTTTGCAACAGTACAAGAAACCGCTTTGTCTCACTTTCATTGACTTAAAGAAAACTTTTGAATCACAAAGTTAACTTTTTATTTGATCCCCTTTGCAACGTTTCACAGCAAGGCATTATGTGGGATGCAACTACAACGATGCTGAGATATTTGCTAAATTCCGGACCGTAGGTGTCTGCCACATATTATGTTATGGACCTGACAAGCTGACACCTTCGATCTGTTGTCTTGCAGATATCTTGGAAAATATCTTGGGGAACGAACGTGCTATTACCCTTTCCGGTGGCTCACGCGTTCACCTCCACTCCATGTGGGTCCTTCGTTTCCCCTGCCTCTTAACTAGTTTTCTATCTATCAGTGCGATCAGCAATCATCCGTCAACGCGATTGATCTGGGAAGCCCAAATCAGCATTGAACGCAGTTAAGCTGAGGCTGCAGTTGAAATCAATTGTTAGAAAAAAAGTTGTGATAGGCACCGAATAAAAGGCTAGCACTGTGATTGTAACTATAACCTTAGCTTAACTGAGTTTAATGCCGATTTGGGGTTTCTAGATCAATACCGTTGACGGGTGACTGCTCATAGCACTAGTGGATAGAAAACTAACTGATAGACACGCGAAACGAAGGACCCACA